TCAGTACCAGGGACAAATGTGGTCTGGACGTACTAGCAACGTTATGATTATTTTTATTATATCCTAGACCTCCCTTATTGCCAGCAGAGTTGCCCATTCCTAAAATGTTATCCAGCTTTATAGAACCACTAGAAAAAGCAAGAAGTTGAGACTTGAAATGCTCTAGGTCGCTCAAAAGATTTTTAACCTATATTTCTAAGGTCTCCTTTTCAACTACCATCTCATTAGCTCTCCTAGATGTCTTCTCAAGTTCACTAGTGAGATTCTTAACCCGTGTATCTAAAGATTCATTCATGGATTTCAACTCACCCAGGGTAGAGGTAGATTCCTGAATGTGCACTACGAGTTTTTCATTTTTCGACTCAAGTTTCGTAACTCATGTACTTAAGACTTTATTTTTTGTTATAATCTTAATACTCACCTTATAGATTCTATTATAAACCTCATAAATATCTCACTCACTATCAGAATCTTCCTCACTTCAGAATCTTATTTTGAATTCTCACCACTACTTATGCTCTCAGCCTTCTCACTCCCATTATCAGATCCATTCTTAATTCTCATAGTAAAGACAATATATTTTCCACTTTCCTTACGAGTTGATTTCTCACTCTGATTGTTCGAGTTAGACTCGTCATCAGTGAAAGTAGCATTCATAGCCTTATCTGGATTTCTCCGACTGCTAGGGCACTCACTCCTACGTGGTCAAAACCTCTACAATTATGACACATCACAGTTTTAGAACTCTTTCTAGATCCACTAGGACCACTTATATGCTTCTCTTGAAATTTTTGTTTATTCCTATACATTTTTCAAAAAATTTTAGCAAGGTAAGCTAACTCCTCTTCATTAGGAGAATCTGAATCTGAGGACTCTTTATGACTATTCCTCACAGTATTTAAGGTCAATGCCTTATCGTTTGTGGGTTTATTTAATGTAAGTTCATAAGTCTGGAGAGATCCAACCAACTCTTCAATCTTAATGGAATCTAAGTCCTTACTCTTCTTTATTACCGTGACTTTAGGTCTAAACATTTCTAGTAGGGATCTAAGAATTTTTTTAACTATCTTAGGTTTCGGGATTCTCTCACCTAGGTTGAAACTAGAATTTACAAGTTATTTAAGCTCGTATAGAATTCATTAAAGATCTGATTCTCTTTCATTCTAATATATTCAAATCTAGTGGGCAGCATCTGCAACTTAGAGTTATTAACCGCTTGAGTTCCCTCATGTGTGGTCTGTAGAATATCCAAAACCTCTTTGGTTATCTCACACATAGATACTCGCTTAAACTCTTTCGGGGGTACTTCCATAAATAGAGCTTGTAAGGCTTTACTATTCCAATTACATTCATCTAAGTTTGCTCTTATCCAATTAGCAACAGTGGTGGAGATTACTTCATTATTAACCGTAGAACTAGGTGTAGCCCAACCATTCACAACACTAAGCCAGATACGTTCATCCATGGATTTTAAAAAGGCTCTCATCCTGACCTTCCAATAGGCATAATTACTACCATCAAAATATGGTGGGATGAATAATGAATTATTCATCTAGATAATATGGGTCAAAGAACAAATTTGGGCTCTGATACCAGTTGAAAACTCATGTGTCGCACTAGATACCACTTAGTAGTTCACGGATTCCCAATTTAACGGCTTTTAAGTTACCGAATGGCTGTTACTTATCCCCTTTTAGCTTTGACCGTACGTACGAAATTAATCAATCAAATGCAACGAATCACTTTTAATTGTTTCTAGATGATTAAGCATACAAGTCCAATTATCCTATGTTTGAATACCGCAGGAATAAGGAAAGCAATAATAAACACCGATATGATGACGGAAAAATCCCAACTGGGTAAAAACTCCAAGACCAAGCTAGTTACCTCCACTATAAACAATACGGAGTGAGTTACAATTAGATGTTATCTAGCCAACTCCACTAGACTTCCCGATCTATTTTTTACTAACTCAAGGCCCGCTCCAAGATCTTCTGCAATTATCTCTTCGAAGTGGAATTCCAAGAACTTGCTCGAAGGCTTTATGCTCTACCAATGCTTGTAGTCCAACCCTTCTCAACCTCCAGTATTTTCTAAAGTTCAATTGAGAAAGTATCTTCCTATGATCAATAGGATGTAAGTGGTGTTTCGGATTCATTAGGGTTGATGTTTTTCCCAAATATGTGGTTGCATAAAATCAAGAGTGAAAGGATTAAATCAATGTATGAATAAGCTCTTAAATATGTTATAGAGAAGAGATACAATGAACAATCACACTTATTTTCGTGCATATACTTGAGTATTTATAGGAGAGGGTAATTAGGTTGAATGAGCCGAAAAAAATACTAAAATAGGGTTTTTCGGATCGACTTGTCGTTTGAGCAAGAAGTTGGCGACAAGCGAGCAACGCATTGTCGCTCGAGCGAGAGCTCAGTGAGTTCAACTACAAGCGGGCGATAAGTTTTCTGTTTTTGTCGCTCGAACTCCAACTGGGCAAGAAACTAGCGAAAATGCGGTATCGTGTTTCTCCTCTTTTCATGCTTGAACCCTAGACCTCATAACCCAATTTATACAAATTGCACCCTAGGTCATTGACTTTTACAACACGTTACAAATTAGTTCTTTTGTCCACAGAATTGTCAACATTAAAAACCTAATAGTATTATATTATGCACAATAGTCATGATAATTATTACATATTTTTGAATTTGTTATTTTGATAGAATATGTTAAGTCAATTTTGAACTTGGGTTTACGAACCGAGATCATGATTAAAAACACAACTACTTAACCAATTGAAAAAAAATAGTTTGGGGGTAGTTGATCCGTTATTGAGAGCTATTTAGTATGTGTTGATTCCGTGCATATTAAATATTTGTATGGAATTTTATTGGCTAGCAAATAGAGACTAGGCAGTAACAATTTACTAGGGGTTTAATTTCAATTACGTATTTTGAAAAATAAAATTCATTGCTAGTCTTGAGTAATCTGCCCTCATTCTTCACCAGTTTAGGAAATGATTTCTTGGAGAATAAGGTTGCCTGCAATGTAAAATAAAAACTACATTAAAAAATCAAAGAAAAAAATCCCAAAACAGTAGAATGGAAGCAATGAGAAACAAAACAAAAGAAAAACACACCAAAATGTGTTGAGGCAGTGGCAAAACAACTATAACTATTGTTTTTGCCCAACCAAGCCTTGGCTTAGTTTGGAATTTAGAATTTTGTTGATGCTTATTATCCTAATTGAAGCTTGGATGCTGAGATGTTCAAATCTAGCAAGGATCATCACATATTGAGATGGTGATTTTCATTGGTGAAACTCAACCAAACTTGAGAGGGAAATGAATAAGTGTTGTGCAATCAACATTAGAATAAACACCCCAGGTATATGAATGAAAACAAGTTTGGAGGCATCCTTGAGAAAGAGAAAATTTTGAATATAAAGGGTCGAAAAATAATCAACTAAAAAGCTCATGTTTATTAGATTGACTATGTACACACACATCGACCAAGCGTTGAATGAGAAAAGAATTAGTTTTAGTTGCACTACTTATAAACTTTTTGTGAAGTATCAAACGATTTCAATACTTGATGCAAGTTCTGTAAAGTTATCTAATGCATTTATATTTTGTTCGTTTGCTAGTGTAGCAGATGGTCTTGCTCGGGATGAATAAGAGCTTAAGTTTGGGTATTTGAAAAATGCTTATCATGCATTTATTCGAACTTCAACTTATTTATTTATATGTAGATTGAGAGAATATCTACGTAATCTATCTAAATTATGTTAATTATAGAAAAATCTCATCATGAATACAATTTATGTGAAAAGTTGTTATTTCTAGCTTAATTAAAGTTGATTTGAATCAATTGAAGATTAACCGATTGAAATAGATGAATTGAAAGTATTAATGGGGCATTCTAAAAAAATCATAAGTTTCGGGAGTTAAATTCAATAATTGAAAAGTTTGGGGACTAAATTACAAACTTTCAAAACTTGCTCCGGGTCAAATACAATAATTTTAGAATGAATAGAACTTAATTGAAAATATTATAAGATGAAAGTCTAAAATCCAATAGGAAAATGAGTTCAATTGGAAAAGGGATTTGTATCATTTATCTTATCAAACTCTTTGATGGAAATCCATTTAAATAGGGATTTTGCCTAAATCATGTTTTATAAATACATACCATAATCCAATAATTAAAAGAGAGCTTGTAAGATTTCATTAGACACATATATTCAAGTCGAGGCTTGCGAGGGATTGATTATACACATATATACAAGCCCAAAAGGAGGAAAGAACTAATAAATCAATCAAGTAACTAAAGTTTTAAAGGTTTCACAAGTAGGTAAAATGTTGGTGCAAGATCTTCATTTTTTTTTCATTTTTCCTTTAAACCTGATTATTTACTTTAATTCTTTCTCGATTTATTACTTTTTCATGATGTGTAATTAAGTAACTAGTTCGATGAATGATTGTAACCTATTTTTGAACCTTAATTTTAATTAAAAAGGTTTAAATCTCCAACTGATTTTGTGAATTATTTTTACTTTCAATATGCTTGGATTAGTTGGCCACTTATTCATTGATTTTGTGAACGATAGTTATGTCGTGAGGCAGATTATTTGTTTAGATCACGTAGTAAAAATCGAGAACTAGTATAAAAGTCTAGAGATACAGTTTTCTAGTTAATTTACATGGATTCTTAGATGTTGAAGATGTGTAACTTAGGTGTATCCGATTCACATAGAAATATGAAATTGACTTAGTTAAATAAAATTAATTTGAATTCGAGAGAGGTAAATTAAATATTTTAGAAGAATTCGATCGGGTAAACATAATCAATTGTTATAAACTTTGGTGATTGGGACTAAGTGGATAGTTATAGTGATCTCGAGAATCCTAACGCTTAAACTCTCATATAAAAAAATCACTTTTATTGTTTTAATACATTTAAAAAATCACAAAAAGAAAGCAACACATTATATTTGTTTTCAATCAAGTTGAACTTGGGGATAATTTAACCAATGGCTAATGGTAGTATTCATGGGAGCGATTATTTGGACTAGATCCACCATATTACTTATTACGATTCATACACTTGCAGGATAAAAAATGGACAACATAATCATGCGTGGATGCCATATAAAATGCCGCAGAAATACAACTCCAAGATCTTCGATTCGTGCAATTTCGAACTCAGTTATAAACCAACAAAACACACATCGTGAATTGATTTTTCAACCCACAAACACTTCCACTATGGTTGCCCAATTGTAACCCCCATGGATCAATATGGTGGGTGCAATATCCCAAAGAAGAAGAAGGTAACAATTAGGTCACTATTTTCAAAAAGAAAATGGACAAACAAATGGCTGCTTATTCTCTTGCAACACACAACATGCTAGCAAATTAGGGCCAATATAGATAGTTTTAGGGGAAAAATTCAAAAATCAGGTGTTAACTTTGACACAATTCAATTTTCAAGTGTCAAGTTTAAAAATGCAAAACTCAGGTATTTATTTATTAATTAAATTTTTTTATTGATTAATTATCAAATAAATTTATTAAATATTTAATTCTAATATAATATAATTAACTCACCCCATCTCCACCACCCTTACCGTTCTGGAGACTATTTCGGTGACCGTTCCAGCCACCACTCTTCTCCCGCGACTATTTCGACGACCATTTCGACGACTACTCCGATTCCGACAATTATTCCAGCGACTATTCCATTGACCGTTCCGCCGTAGCTTTATTTCGACGACTGCTCCAATTTCGACAATTTATATAATATGGTCACAGATTCACAATTTAGATAGTTACATATTATTTTTCAATCACAAATAATAATTTTTATATGTCACGGATTATTTTATGATCACAATTAGGGCTGTCCGTGGGTCGGTTCGGTTCGGTTATGAAGAGACCCGAACCGACCCAAAACTTTCGGGTATTTAATAAATGGACCAGTCGGGTCCAAATATAATTATGGAACCGTTCGGGTTCGATTCCGTACCATAATCAAAATTTTTAATATTTACA